CATTCCAAAGAAATGTGATCCAACAGAATGCAGAAATTATTGAACAATATCATTAATATCGCACACAAGTAAAATTTTGCTGAAGATCATTCAAAAGCGGTTGCATCAGTACATCAACAGGTAACTGCCAGAAATTCAAGCCAGATTCAGAAGAGGACGTGGAACAAGGCGTATCGTTGCTGATGTCAGATGAATCCTGGCTGAAAGTAGAGGATACCAGAAAGACGTTTACCTGTGTTTTATTGACTATGCAAAGGCATTTGACTAGGTGGATCATAACAAATTATGGATAACATTGCAAAAAATGGGAATTCCAGAACACTTAATTGTGCTCATGAGGAACCTGTACATAGTCCAAGAGGCAGTCATTTGAACAGAACAAGGGGACACTGCGTCCTTTAAAATCAAGAAAGCTGTGCGTCAGGGTTGTCTCCTTTCACCATAGTTATTCAATCTGTATGCTGAGCAAATAATCTGAGAAGCTGAACTATATGAAGAACGGGGAAGACTCATTAACAACCTGCGATATGCAGATGACACAACCTTACTTGCTGAAAGTGAAGAGGACTTGAAGCACTTACTGATGAAGATCAAAGACTACAGCCTTCAGTAGGGATTACACCTCAACATAAAGAAAATAAAAATCCTCACAACTGGACCAATAAGCAACATCTTGATAAATGGAGAAAACACTGAAGTTGTCGAAGATTTCATTTTACTTGGATCCATAATAAACAGCCATGGAAGCAGCAGTCGAGAAATCAAAAGATGCATTGCATTGGGCAAATCGGCTGCAAAAGACCTCTTTAAAGTGTTAAAAAGTAAAGATGTCACTTTAAGGAGTAAGGTGTTCCTCACCCAAGCCGTGGGGTTTTCAATCGCCTTGAATGCATGGGAAATCTGGACAATGAATAAGGATGACAGAAGAAGAATTGATGCTTTTGAGTTATGATGGTGTTGGCGAAGAATGTCGAATATACCATGGACTGCCAAAAGAACGAACTAATCTGTCTTGGAAGAAGTACAGCCAGAATGCCCCTTTGTCTCACAAACTCTGGACATGTTATCAGGAGGGACCAGTCCCTGGAGGTCATCATGCTGGGTAAAGTAGAGGTTCATCAAAAAAGAGGAACACCCTCAACAAGAGGGAATGACATAGTGGCTGCAATGATGGGTTCAAGGATAACAATGATCATGAGGATGGGCAGGACCGGGCAGTGCTTCGCTCTGTTGTACACAGGGTTCCTATGAGTCAGAACTTACTAGTCAGCACCTAACAACAATGCATGATGCTAATATGGCAGGATTAAAGACAGTTATGTTTATGAGGTAGGACTCAATCTACAAGATTAGGTTGTGTCTTGAGCCAATCTCTTTTGAGACATCAAAGAGAGAAGCGAGCAGAGAGACAGGGGGATCCGATGCCACCTAGAATGAAGAACCAGGAGGGGTGCACATCTTTTGGACCCTGGGAGAAGCTCCTAAACCACAGGAAGACTGATGACAAGGACTTTTCCCCAGAGCTGACAGAGAGAGAAAGACTTCCCCTGAAGCTGGTATCCTGAATTTGGACTTCTAGACTGAGAGAATAAATTTCTCTTTGTTAAAGTCATCCACTTGTGGTATTTCTGTTATAGCAGCATTAGATAACTAAGACACATGCCCTATGATTAAAGTCAATGGAAAACTACTGCAACCCAATTCCGACATCACTACTAATGGCCCCGACTCTTCAGGAATGAAAGTGTCGGTCATCCCACTAGGCAAAGAACCGTGACCAGCTGAGGTGCTTGCTGAGGGTAAAAGGAATATGGAATGGGTGGTGGAAGAAGGTAGTTCTCAATACCAGTTATGACCACGTGACTAGTAGCTGTCAGGAGGACTGTAACGGTTACGAGTAGTTCTTCCTTGTATGCGTCCATGAAATATTTTTGTTCTCTTCACTTATAAAATATAAGATGTAAATAGGGCTAGTGGATTTTCAGTTGTATGTGTGTTAGTTTTATCATGTTAGGTGCAAGTATGACTCTATAATTGTCTTTATTTAGCGATTATATATGGTTTAAGAGATGTGTACAGGTGCCAAGTTAACAAGGGGTGGACTGTGATCGTTAAGGTTGTGTGTCAACTTGGCTGGGCCATGATTCTCAGTGGTTTGGCAGTTACGATGTAGGCTGGCACTTGTATAATGATGCAATCACTTCCGTGATAAGATCTGATACACTGCGATCACCTCCATCACAGGATTGCTGTGAGTAGCCAATCCGTTGAAAGGGGGTTTCCTTGGCACTGTGTCCTGCATACAATATAGGTGGACTTTCTGGCAAGGCTCTTCATGCTTTTGCTCACTCTGGATCCTGCAGCTGGCTCCTGTTCATCTGACCTCCAGTCTTGGGACTTGAGCTAGCAGTTTACCTGTCGATCTTGGGATTCGTCAACCTCAGCATCCTGTGAGCCAGTGGCCTGTGACTTTACCTGCCAATCTTGGGATTCATCAGCCCGTGCAGCCTGTGAGCCAGAGGCCTGTTGTCTGACCTGCTGATCTTGGGTTCACCAGCCCCTGAAGCTACGTGAGTCAGGAGAAGCCTCCAGCCTGACCCATGGAATTGGAACTTTTCATCCTCTACAATCACGTGAGCCACTCTCTTGATATAAATCTCTCTATACATATATGTATATATACAGATGCTTCACTGGTTTTACTTCTCTTGAGAACCCAGCCTAAGATACCATTTAACAATTTCTTCAGTGTCATTGGTTCCCTTTTACACAGCGTGTCAACTTTCTCATTATTTCTCTCCTGGTTGTTGTTTCCAGTAATCTAGTTTCCCTGCTCCCTTGCCTTCTCATCTTTGCTTTAGAGTAATTGTTGACCATTTGGTTTCATACAGATGTTTTTTTTTTAAAGGATCAGAGTACTCATGAGTGATACTGTTTATTTCGTGAGCCAATCTGTTATTTAGCTAACAGATTACCCCATGGAACAGTTTTGGTTCAAGGTTTAAAGAGTATCTCCGGGTGATAGTCTCAGGGAGTCCTCCAGTCTCAACTGGTCCAGTAAGTGTCAACTTTTCAAGAGTTTGTGTTCTGTTCCACATTTTGCTCCCATCTGTCAGGATCTGTCTATTGTGTTCCAGATCAGAACAGTCAGTAGTGGTAGCTGAGCCCTATCTAGGTTTTCTGGTCTCAGGGTAGATGAAGTAGTGGTTTTTGTAGACTATTAGTCCTGGGGACTAGTTTCTTCTCTGAGGCTTTGGTTTCCCTCATTCTCTTTTACTCCTGATGTGTAGAGACCAATAGTTGTATCTTAGATGGCCACGTGCAAGCTTTTAAAACCTGAGATGCTACTCCCCAAACTGGGATGTAGAACATAAACTTTACGTACTATATTACGCCAATCGACCGAGTTGTCCCACGAGACTATGGTCCTAAGCCTTTGGACCCTGTAAACCTATCCTGTGAGGTGTTTAATCACTTGTGCCCAGATAATTATGTTTGATAAAGTCACCACAGACACTGAATTAGGGAATACTGACCCAGTGCTCCTAGGGGAGATACAGGGCTAGGATCCTATCTGCTTCTGGTTACAACATTTTCGTCCACCCATCAATACATAATCTTGTTTTATGTGTGTTTCTTCTTAATACCTATTGTTGATTCATTAACATTGAACTCACAGCCAACAGTACTGTAACTCACGCCAGAACGAAGCTTACCTAACACATGTATTCCTTTTTGCACTTAGGAACACCAGACAACATTTCTGTACTATGCTTAGTTGCCATTTTAAACAGAGGAATCGTTAACCAAAAGCACAAAAATGGAGGGAAATGTGGCACGAAATAGACTGTGAGAAGGACAGCTGTTCGCAGTATGAGGGCTGAGACAAGAAGGCGGAGTCTCACCTGGTTTCACCTCAGCTGGGAACACGTGCCTCGCGTGACTCAAATTTCTCCCCGCTGTGCATGTAGGGAGACACGATTACAAAACACTACCGGGTTACAAATACACTAGTGAGCAGTCTAATTCACAAGTAAGGAATCAGCGAATAATTATCGATTTTATGCGGGATGCAATTAAGCAGTGTTTACTGGGAAACTTAACAGTTTTAAATGATTATATTAGAAAAGAAGAAAGATCTAAAATCAAAACCTAAGGTTTCGTCTTAAGAAACTAGAAAAAGATGAGCAAAGTAAACGCAAAGTAAGAAACCCCGAGGCAGACCTCCCTGGGCGCTGAGGGGCTCACAGTCCCTCTTGATTTCCACCGCTTCGTTAGCAGGCTTTCCTGAGGGAGCGGGGCCCTGTTCCTGGGCCTTGCCAGTGCGTCAGAAAACTCAGGCGAATTCTTCCTACTTCGCAGTCCTGATCCGGGAGGGGAAGAGCATCCTTGGCCCCACCTGCCGCCCCGGCCACCCACCTCCACTGTCCTGGCTGCTCGCTCAACCCCTCCTGACCCACGACCCTGCTGTCCCACCGGCCTCGGCTGTTCCTGCGACTCCCACTACGCCCCGACCAAAGCTGTCACGGTTGTTCTAGAGGCCCCCGCGGCGGGGCCTCGCGACCGCCGCGACCGTTGAGCCCTGCCGGGCCCCCTTCGGCGCCCTCCCAGCTGCCCAGGGGCGCCAT